TTTTTTTTTTTTTTTTTTTTTTTTTTTTTTTTTTTTGGTAAGGGGGATTGAACTCGGGTCCTTGTACTTGCAAGGCAGGCCACCGAACCGCTGAGTTAAATCCCCGGAGAGGACTTGATAACTTTATTTTATTTTATTTTTAATGCGTCTTTTAGGCTCCAGACTCACTGGAGACATCCTGACACATAGTGCCTTGTCTAGCACAATGTGATGCCCTTTACCTAGTAAAAGGGTAAGTCCATAAAGGTGCTGCCTTCCTCCAGAACAAACAACGGAAATGCATCAGGAGAGCTCCGCTGCAGACAGAATGCACATCGTGAAGCAGGAGCCACCCTGGGATCTCTCAGATGAAAGACGATTTCAATGAACATTGTGTTTCAAAGCCTGCTTCCTCTGGCCCTGTAAGGACTGCAGGAGGAACATCCCACTTGCGTCTGCTGACACAAAAGAATGCTGCGGCTGGGAGATCTTATCAAGCCTTCCTGTGCCACAGCAACAGAGCTTCGGTTGTGTCTCCTAAGAATTGCTCATTGTTTCATGGGGACGACTGGCTCCTTTGGGTGGGATCTGATGGCATCTCATGGAGTTGGAGGTAGGTGGTGCTGGGAGGTCAGCCAGCCACATGACCCAGCTTGCTGGCTTCGGGGAAATCAGTAGAGGAGCACGCTTCACCCAAGTTTCTGGGTAGTGAATAACTAAGCATTTAAAGTTTAATTTTTTTATTTATTAAAATATGCACATGCTGTTTATTTAATAAGGTCTTCAAATTGTGCAAGTTAGGAAGAGAAAATAGAAGTGACATCCAAGTTCTCCTTCTTGAGAATGCTGTTTCTTCACCTCTTTTAACTTATAACTGTTTGAATCTGATAAAAATGAGAATAATCAGGAAGTGTTTTGAAGGCAAAAATTTAATGATTTCAAACCATCCCTGGAGAATTTAGTGGCCAATATGTGAACACTTAGCATTTATGATATAAACTTCAAAGATGTATTTTTGGTTCATGAGGATGAATTTCAAGTTTTAATCATCATATTTATATTTAAAAGCATAAGTTAATAACACTGGTTTAGTTAAAATTGGCCACTTCTAGATAATGTCTCCTTTGCTCAGAAAATTCATAGCCTTTTCCAATAAAGGAAAAGTGATAGTTACCCATTCAGGGACATGGGGGAGTGTAATTTGGATTTTCTTCTTTTCTTCTTCATCAAGGCTGCAACAACTAGCTCATAGTGTTAAAAATTACAACTTACAGGAAGGGTAACCATAAGTCTCAAAATCAGGAATCTAACAATTTTAATACTTCCTCCCCATGTCTTCAGGTAGAACTTTCCAAAGTTCTCTTTGCCCTAATAATATTTATATTGTTATTTCAGCAAAAACAGTTCATCCTCCTCCAAGTTTGATCAAGGTTCTGAGAACGAAGGCATTACTAAAACAGCGTCTCCTTTCTGAAAAAGACTTACTGAATATTTCACATGTTGTGATTAGTTACGAATAAATTTGTTTTCCCTTAGTGAACTATGAGTACCTTGAGGAAAAGACCTAGATCGTAGTCATCTTCGTATTTCCAGGGTCAATCAAGATGTCTTGCTCATGTTGGTATCAGTTGGATGGATGGGTGGATGATTGAATGCATGGGTGGACATAGCAGTAATTAATGGGAACTTGATTTAGGCTCTCTATATTTTTCCTGGAATGACCACAACTGTTAGCACTCTGAGCCCTTAGTATCTTACTCTTAGATGTATAGATTATAGAAATTTTCAAGATCCCATAGCCCACTTCCTTCATTTTGCATTTGATGAAATGAGACTCAGATAGAGAGAATCTGACTTTACACACTCACATATCTGATTAATAAGTGACAGCTCTGAGTTAAAAATCCAGCTCTCTTGGTTTTTAGTCAAATGCCCAACGCATTATGTTGGTTTACATGACCTGAACCTTTTTTTTTTTTTTTTTTGAGGCTTGAAGACGCAGCAAAGAGCAATCTGTCACTCACAGCCTAGCTGGGGAATGTGAAAGTAAACAGGGCCAAAACAAAACTAGTGAAAGGAGTGAAGCTGGGCTGTAGAACTCACATGCTGATGGTGCTGAAGTAAAGCAAGAACAAGAATGCCTTGTTTTTATTCAGGGCAATAGCATTCCATGTCTCTGTCAGATGATGCCACACTCAAAATTTTAGTCTCTTCTTTAGGTTTCCAGGATAACTTGCGGAGACAGTGCTGTCCACCTCTACTCCACTGACTGAGATTTCTCTTTGATGTTGAGTGTAGCTTTTGGAAGTCCTTTCCAAAGAAGCTTTCTTCTGTCCCTTGCTAGTGAGACTGATGCAATCAATGATATTGTCTCTAGATCTTCCTGCTGAAGGAAAGAACTCTTGACATATCTCTTCTGATTGCCTGGAGTTTTGTTTGTCTACATTATGTTCAGTCACAATGTATCTAAATGCTTATGATTGGCCTACAATTAAACAGAATGTTGTTTAATTTAATAATTTAGCCTTTTAGAGTAAATTATTTTAGAATGAACAAATAACAACACGCAACACAGAAGAATTTCAAAATAATTATGCTAACTGAAAGAAACCATACAAAAGAGTAGATAGTGTACGATTCTATTTATGTAAAACTTTGAATATGCAAACTACTTTAAGAAAGAAAGAAACACATCCATCGTTGCCTAGGGAAACGGGGGAAGGAGAGCAGAGAGAGAGAGAGGAATAGAAAGAGAGTCACATAAATTTCTGAGGGTGATGAATATACTCACTGTCTTGATTATAGTTGTGGTTTCATGGGTATATGTATATGTTCAAATTTATCAAATTGTTCAACTAAACAGTGTACAGTTTATTGTATGTCAATGTTTATTGTATGTCAAATATACCTCAAGGAATCTTCTTTTACTAAAAAAGAATGCAACCTTTTAAAATTCAACTAAAATATTATGTTAGTCAAGGTTTAATAAGAAAAGAAAATGCCAGGATGTGTGAGTGTCTCTGTGTTTGTGTGTGTGTATGTGTTTGTGACACAGGGATTGACTTCATGTCATTGTTAAGTGTGGGTAAGTCATCTCTGTAAGGTTGCTGTCCTGAAGTTTGAAATCTAAAGGCAAGTTGTAAGGAGAAGAATATTGCTATAAAATAGGAAAGAGCCAGAACAGGCTAGAACTCCAGGCCCTGCTGGAGCTCACAAGGACAGTTCAAAACTCCTATGAGTTCTGTACGTCTGATGTCCTACAGAGCACTGCCTTCAACATAGAGCTCCTGAGCACACCTGGCCCAGGCCATCCAGGGGAAAGTGAACAGTTGCAGGCTCAGCTGCTGCCTCTTGCAAGAGGTGAGTGAGCAGAGACAACATGTATGAGTTGTCAAATGGCTACTGCTTCGTTTCTCCAAATCTTGCCCAAGAATCTCACTCATGCCCCACCTTACCCAGATATATACAGGAAAGAGAATTCTGGGAAACACAGTTCAGCCTAGTTGGGTTTACTCATTACAAATTCACCTTTGGTGATTTGACACTCCTAACTCTCTTTAAATCATCCTTAATCTCCAAATAAAAGTAATAACAGAGTCATACCTCTACTCTAATATGATACATCTATCCCAAATACAATCAAAACCACACTAACTTTTTTCCTGGAAGAGGACCCATGGGTCTTTTTTTCACTCTAGATGACACTTACTCTTATCCTAGTTGATTCACAGTTCCCTTTTGATAGTCTGTAATTTACGTAGTAAGATTCTATTAACATATATTAGATGATATGACATGACAAAGAAGATAACTACAAAGATAACTGATGAAACAAATTATATATGTACATAGATGTGTATTTATACATAGTTATATCATAAAGAGGATGATATACTCATACCTTCTACAGTGTCTGTGTCTGCAACTGGACATGTGGCTGTACCTAATATTTATGACTACCTTCTTCTACTACCTAATTCATGCTCTATTTTGTTCTCAATAAGTGCTTGAGCTGGTTATGGATCTTTACTTAGTGGGGTGAACTAAATCTTTATTCTCAAAGTGTCTAGATAATTAGCAGTTATATTAATTGAGTTAACTTGTTTTTCTATTGGCTTTAATCACAGGATATGGGGATACCAAAGGGCAATCTAGAATATCTTTGAATTTCAAAATATATTTCTCCTGACTATGTGGAAGCAGGATAGTGACAGACACTCCCTTTCTTGCCTGATGATTCAGCGGCATGACGCAGAGTGGTCAGATGCTTCCCCAGTGAAATCAAGGCATCACATGTACCCTAGTGCAACTGCTTCCCATTTTGGAGCTAAGACCTCTTGATCATGAGAGCCTGCTGTCATAGAGATTAGAAACAAAAGTTGTGTCAGAAGATCACTACTGTAGTGAGAAGATCCTCATCCCTTTCCACTGCTAGATCCCCTGACCACTGAGTCTTGGCTAAGAGAATAATAGAAATCTATATTGGGTGTTGATTTAGAGCATACATTGTGTCCAAAAGGGTCATAGTGAGTCTGCAAAGGAGTGTCTCCCCCATTCTGTCCAGCCAGCTGCTTCAGATTGATGAAGAGCACAGAAAGATCAGTAGCCTGCCTGAACCCATTTCTGTACCTCATTTCCTGTGAGATAAGTTCCTTGGTCAGAAATGATTCTGTGTGAAATACCATGGTTATGAATAAGCCATGCATTACATGGGTTTGGTGGATTTGGCAGAAGAGATGTGGGCAGGGAAGTCAGATGCACATACATACGAAGTGTCTGTTCCAGTGAGAGCAAACACTGGCCCTTCCACGAGAAAACTGATCTGATGTAATCAACCTACCAGTAAGTCCCTAGCTGGCAGGAATGGTGCCGTGTCAGGAGCTCATGGTTAATCTCTACTGTTAGCAGGCTACTTTGAAGTGACTGAAGCTAAATAGGGCTTGGCAAATAGAAGTCCATATTGCTAAGTCCGTGCGCAACTTTTCTCCTTAGTACCATTGCTACATTTTTCATGAGTCAATTGGGTAGGGATAGGAGTTGCTTGGGAAGGAAGCTGACTGAGGATCTTGGAATGGATCATCCTATCCCCTTGATAATTAAAATCCTCCTCTGTTGAGTTCATCCTTTGGTGAGCATTCACATGGACACAAAGGTCTTTACATGCTATGTCCATTTGAAGAGTTCATTAACCTACCTCTTTACCAGATTTCCTTGTCACCAACTTATCCTTTATGTTCCTTGTAAATATCTGGCCCAGGGACCATAGGTATGTTAGGCCACTCACTGTTGTAATTTATCCGTGTCTCTCAGACCTAATCAAGTCCAACTTCATATATCTTACTTCTCTTTGATAATGGAGCATTATGGTTCACCCTCAAATGTATTGCCTGTTGGGTCAGCAAGAGTAAAGGGTAGCTCAGGTCACATAGTAATTTGGTTAGCCATGGCCAAACATTCAGTCTCTACCAATGCCCAGTAGCAAAACAAAGGCTGTTTAATAAAGAAGAATCATTATCCATAGTGGATATTCTAACCAGCATTTCTGTCACTGACATTCTAGGCACTATTGAATTTTCTGGATCATATGGCCCAAGTAGCAGGACGGCTTACAAAGCAGCCTAGATGGAAACCCTGGGCACTACTCACACTTGGTAGCTTTTGGAATTATGCAGTAAGAGCACCTCATCATGCCTCAGACCAGACCCCTAGAGATTCATAGGATTCTTTTTCCACCGTTTAAGATGCACTATGTTCCTTAGTAATTGTCTATGTACCAGAGAAGAAACCAAGAAGCTAAAAGGGGATCCAGGAGAGGATGGAGGTGGTGCAAACTGACCACTGACTTACAACAGTGAACTGAGCCAGCAGAGGCCACAGTGTAGAGAAGAGAAAACATGGCTGCCACTTCAACTCTACCCTCTTATATTCCACAAGAAGTCTACAGTTTCTTTTATTCAGAATCATATAGGAACAGGAATTCTGGGAAATGTAATTCAGCCCAGCCAAGACGACAACCCACCCCACCATATGTGGTACCACCAAAAAATACAGTAAATGTTTTATGCTTGTTTGTATTGTTTGACTGATGGATGGATGAACTGTACTGAAAGTTGATTCTAGGGCCTTTTGCATGTTAGGCAAATGGTCTACCCACTGAGCTACATCCTGTCAGTCCTGGTGAATGTTCAAATAAAAATTTTAGATTTATTACAGTAAAAGAAGCATTGCCATTAATCCTCCTCAAAATAGTACCCTTCACCTCAAATACACTTATTCCTTCATTATTGCCACTTTCTGAAGGAGATCTGGAAGCCTTCTTTTGTGTCAGTTCATGGCTGCCTTGATGTCCTGAATCAATTTAAAACATTTACAGTAATTTCTGTCAAATAAAAACATTACAGTGTGTATTTATCTGCTTTATTCACCAGATCTGGCACTGTGTGACTTCTGGCTTTGCTCCAAAGTCAAAATGACCATGAAAGGCAAACATTTTGAGTTAATTCAGGACATACAGGCAGCCATGACAGTGTACCAAAAGACATGAAAGAGGATTTCCAGAACTGCTGCAGGAAGTGACAAGTGTATTTGAAGTGAGAGGAAGTGTTTTGAGAGAGAATGATGGCAATGTTTCTTTTACTGTAATAATTTTAAAATTTTAAATATTTATTATATTTACATCTTGAACAATTTATGATAGATTATTTTAAGGTAGAGAATTCTGTTTAAGAATGAGAAAAGTAGCTGTTACATGCGGATATGATTTTTCCTGAAGAATTCCTGAGACAGATTCTTTCCTCTTACCAAAAAGGCAAAAGAAAAAAAAATATGTGTGTGTGTGTGTGTGTGTGT